TGGAAGATTAGATACAATTTGAAATTATACAAATTATATAAAAATTGTTTGATGATTATAGATGGCATGAACCATAGATCGAAAAGTCAACAACTATCCAGTTCTGATTGGTTCAGCTAATAAACCATAACGTTAAAGGTTAATTTTAGGGTTAGGTTTCGGTTTCGGGTGAGGGATACGATTATATGTAAAATTGCCTCCCTAACCTTTTTTTTATTAGTGCTCAAGTCAGATTTAGGTGTCTGTTTCCCATATTTTTCACGTTTTCGCTTTCTTGTTTCGGATTTGTTTTGCCGGGTTGAACCACATACGATGACAACAACCATTATTTCCCCCAAAAGTTCTGATTGGATACAAGTAATTTTCATCGCTGATTGGTTGACTGCACACCGGGGTCTTCTAAATCAACCAATAAAGATGCATAAATTTTTGATCAACCTGGGGGAACACTAAAACGGGTAATACAATCCGAATTGAGTCGATCAGGATTGATTTGATTCAGATTTACATGTAGTGTCACATGCAAAATAAAATAAACTTCAAGATCTGTAAATATTAACGTAAACATTATCGTAAACATTCTAATATTTCAAGGCAATGTTTTTTTTTTCGAAGGGGGGAAGGGGATAAAAGCTAATTATGGTTTTTATTTTAAACGCCAGCTAATTAAGTTTATTAAGACATAATAACATTTACAAAACATGCACTAATATACTTACTCACCATACGTACTCGCCATTTTTTTATATATGTACTCGTCATTATTTTTTATATATGTACTTGCTATTTCTTTATATACTCTCACATTTCTCTATACTCTATACTCTCATATGTCTTTATACACTCACCATTTCTCTTCACCATTTTTCTATATAAACTCACCATTTCTTTATATACTTCACCATTTCTCTATATACTCACCATTTTTTTTAATATATTTGTCATTGCTCTATTTCTCTCTAATATGCAAGCAACATCTCAGTATATTTAATGCTAATAAATTATTTGAAATTTCAGAAAAAAGAATTCTGTGAGAATTTGTGGCTGCTCATTTCTAATGTGTGGACATGACATAGTAGTTGAAAGTATAAGAATAATGATTTTTGGATTGTTTACTCCTGCCATTTTGTGAAACACAAAGTTGGCACTTTTATTGAATCAGAGCGTGAGCTTTTTCTACTGAAAGAAGCTCCTTTATAACAATCCTTCGACTATATTAATTACATATTTCGTTTTATAGACTTACAAAAATAGAAACAAAAATATCGGCTAGAAATTATTCACAAGAAAGTATTCACAGCAATTATCAACTTGAAATTATCAGCTGTAAGTTATCAGCTCGATAATACCAAAAAAATGACGATGACCACGAAGGTTAATAATAAACGATCATCATGCGAAATGGGGATGTGATAAATAAATAATTATGAAGAAATTATGGAATTAGAGAATTTCGTGTTGCTACGGCAACAGTATTCAACAAATTATACTGTTGCACCATCATAGTTCTGACTACAAATATGTTTTATACGTAGTCAGTAAATTAAATTATTTTTCCCACATAGCTAACGCTAATCTGTTTTGTCGTTAAACAGGCAGTTTTTCAAGTATGCACTATTATTTTTCCTTTTAATAATGATTATCTGGCGTAATTCAAATCGATACTACATGTATATCGATATCGATTGATGTTAGTACTAACTTATAGATATAATCACCATCGATATACTCACCTCCATAGTCACACCTTAGTCATATTAAAGGTATATTAAATATCTTTTTTTCCAATAGTTTATAATAAAAAGTTTAAGAAAAGAGAAAGAGCAAGTGACATTACTTAGAAAAAATATGTCTCAGATGGTTCGCTTGTGTTAAACGCCACTCGCTTGAATTAATGCTGGAGGATATTTACTTAATACACAACCAACCAAATTGATTCCATTCATAATAATCACGATCGTAGAAGTCGCCGATGGGCCGGGGTCGCCGATGCTAACGTCAGGCATTGGCATTGCATCAGGCCTACTGAAGAGGCGAATTTCCAAGATCAAAGCGATTACGGAGAGTTTTTTGAAGGATGTCGTCGTCGTAAAAAAATTTGAAAGTGAGGAATAAAATTTGTAGAGAGAGCGCGCGCACCTTTTTATAAGAAAATTTATGTTGTAAATTTTATATTGTTTGAACAATATTATACGCAAGTGAAAATAAATAAAAAGCACATTTGAAATGAATCGCATGATTGAGAATAAAATAGGCAGACCTAAATGCGTCTAAAAGAGAAGAATTAAAATTACAGTTTTTTAAAGGAATTATATCTTAAAAAAACCCACAGTCACTTTATGATCATGTACTACTATCGCTATCGTTAGTTAAATTTTAATTTTTGTGATTCCGGTATCGTTTCTATTAAAAGTAGACTTTCACAAGCATTACATTTAATTGTTTCTTTCATAAAGGATGACATATTTTATTAACTACATTGTATCGGTCATACTATGGTACATAACATAGCATCTAAAGTCATCACAAATTTTTGCGGACAGACCAGAGGATCCGGGAACATTATTTGGTATCGTAGGTCGTGCTCCATTCACCAATGGTCGTTCACCTGTGGCAACCTCATATGTAATTATTCCAAAATATAAATATTTCCAATTAGTACCTCTGGACTCATATAAAGAAGTATCCCGCGAATTTTTCGATCAGATTTCTCTATATCTGCTGGATTGGTAAGCCTAAAATCAACAATGAAAGCATTAACGTTAATATTTGATAATATCGACACATTTGTAGAGTGAAAATCGAAAAATTTATTACAGCAATCAGGGGTTTGACGAATGCATTTACGAATTGATTTGATTTCTCTTCATCCTTATTAATTTATCTAAATATGTTTTGAATCATCAAAGAAAAAATAGGAACGAATTAATAAAAAAAAGGAATATCAAACAGTGATGCTTTCATTTGAGACATACAACTGACGCTTAATTCAACATCGATATTCATATTAGGAGTCACACGTAGAGTTGTGACTTTATAATATATCGATATTGATTTGTGATACTGTCTTTTTTTTTGAAAAAAAACAAATATTTACCTTCATTTGGAACTGATACTGTAGACCTAAAGATTTTTAATTAACATTAAATGTGAATGTGATTTATATTTAGAAACAAAAAAATTACCTGTGTGTTAGTTAGAATTGTTAATGATTTTGTGGTAAAAATTCGACTGGTGTAAACTGCATTTGAGTGGATTTCTTGTTTTTTGTTCGTATTTGTGGGAACGCTTTTCATCTTCTCGTCAAGTTCATCTAATTTCTGCTTTTCTAGTTTAAGACACTCAATGATTTCTTCGCGTGTCTTTGCATTTTCAGTACTACAGTCTTTAAGAAATCCTAAATATTCAGTTCTGTCGCATTTCTATTGTTGATAGACCGGATAAAATTCCTCGACAGTTTGTCTGTTTTCCGGAATAGGATCCTGACACTTGTCAATAAGAAATTTGTATCTTAGGTCCTATATATTGTGACTTTGTTCATCAAATGGTTCGCCTGTTACAATCTCGTTCATAATCATTCCAAAGCTATAAATATCTGTAGATTTAGTGCATGGCTTTTTATTTAGTACCTCTGGAATCGTATAAGGAATTGACTTGGGAACAAAGTTTATGATGTTTGGTGATATTACTCGAGGATATCAATAGAGCATAAAACGGCTTAAATTGCTGATTTTGGACTTGCCAAACCAGCAGATATAGAAAAATCTGATCAAAAAATTTGCGGAATACTTCTTCGGATTTGGAATTCATATAGATCGCATTATCGTTATCGGGTATTCATTTGTAGTTGTGGGTTGTTAGTTATTTCGTAATACACATCCAGGAAAACCGCAGTCTGGATCTAAGTTTGAAAAGTTAATTATATTGAAAAACAAAAAAGCAAAAACACTTTAAAAGGTGTTCATTTTACCTCGTTTATAATTTTTTTAATTGCGTAAGGATTTTAACACAGCTTCGCGTTTGTCAGATCGCTTAAATTTATTTTCTTCATCGTAATTATGCAGACTTGCCTTATAAATTGATCCAAAACCTCCTTTTGCAAGATATTCAACATTGGTAAATCTTTAAAGGGATAAATTCGTTTATTATAATTAATTATCACATGCATGACGGTTACTTATTTTCTTGGCAAAGAATACATTTACTTCAATCATGAGGATTTTGAACACTCATTGCAGTATCCAATATATCGACAGGCTCGACATTTATAACAATTATCGTTATGAGTATTTATTAGCGTTGGTGTTTATTTAATATTAATAATGGTAAATAAAGCCGATGATCGAAGACATTTCCGTAAATCGATTTATGCATGGAAATTGAAACAGGAACATATTACCGTTACGCCCCACATTTACATGTACGTATACAGAGAATACGCCGATTTTGAATAATAGCTAAATATGATTCAAATTAACGACTTGGTTGATTTTTTTAAAATTTTATTAGGAAAATCTCCGGCTCCAGATTATGGGTTATTATTTCTTTGGGGGCTTTGGCTGAAACCGAAATGGACCAATGAGATTAGACAATAGAAATTAAATTATGATAGTTAAATACAGTCAACTCTCCCTAAATGCAAACTCCCTAAATGCACGTGCTATAAATGTATGCACAAACACAAAAAAATAGAAGTTGCTTTTGGTCGTTGTTCTTCAATATCGATGATTTAATAATGACTGATCTCTCATTTCTTTGTCATCGCGCAATGCATGTTGTGGGCGTAGCGGTAATGTCGTTTTTCATGCAAACACAAACGGAAGTGGATAACGACTTCCACTTATAAAGTAAACTCAAAGATGGCATCTAAAATTTCGGAGACTCATGAATGTAGTAAATGCGCTAGTTACACATCAATATAGAAAGTACTACTATGCATGTAAAACGAATTTATAAAACTGAAGCGGAAATAAAGATACCAACAGTCTAATAGAGAAGACAAAAATGCTTTTTTTGAAAGATTTACCAATGTTGAATAGGTCTGCATAATTACGATGAGTGGGAGCATGAAGAAAATAAATTTAAGCGATCTGACAAACGCGAAGCTGTGTTAAAATCCTTACGTAATTCAAAAAAAAATTATAAACGAGGTAAATGAACACCTTTTATAGTGTACGCATGTTGCTCTTTTGTTTTTAAATGTACCATAAACCAGTGATGATAAGTGACTTTAAATGATTCTGATGACAAATGACCAATGACTGGTCATTTTAAAGGTCGAATGACTCAACTGGTCATTTCAAAAAGTCAAGTGATCTTACAATCTTCTTTTTATCCAATAAAATTAAAATCAAACTTTATGACTTTATTATAAATAAGTAAAAATAACGATAACTAACTGAAACTATAGGTTGAAAAATAAATCACATGACAAATGTCCTAGGTCATTTCGATGACATTTGAGGTCATTTGTCATCACTGCCATGAATAAACACCACCCTATTTCGATCCAAAAATCATAAACCAATGATTAACGATAAGCACCACTAAAATTTAAATATATATCTAAAATCGCTTTTATCGTTATATGACGATAATTTTAAATTGTAAGGAAATGTCCAGAAACGAGCACCATCCCGTTTTTTAGACCCAAAAAGTGGTGTTTATTCACAGCAGCTTAGACCAGTCGAATCTTAATACTGACATGGGCACTTGCTATTTATTTCTAAATATAACATTCATATCGATATTAGTTAAAGTTCATCTCGAACGTTTAGGGTGGACAAATGTCAGTTTGTTTGTTCCAAACGAAGGTAAAATTGGGTTTTTTATTGACTTCATTAATTCATTATTATTTTCTCTTTTGGATTGCACAAAACAGATTTAGATGAAAATTAACGAGAATGAAATTATTTTGAGTTTCTTTGAAGAACAATTACAACTTCATGACGAAACACCTCCAGTATCATGCTCATTATTAGATGAAGCTATTACTTTATATGCGCATTATAGAATCCTATTAATTACATGTATATATCTTTTTAATTTGTTAGTGTCAAAAAACATTGGAGATGATTGAATCGATATTGTTGTGCTTATTAAAGTACCTTTTTATCAAAATTTAGTTCTTTATGTATACTCTCATAACATAAAAACAATTTTCTCACGCCTTAATTCTAGCGCATTGTTACACGTGCTTGACAATATATTTTATTTTCGTTTATTACTGTAAGTATCAAAAGAAGAGTCTTTCATTATAACGATGAAGACGTGACTCTTCTTTTAATGTTGCTCATATTACGCGTAAGGATCTCACATGAAAAATAACACGGTATAACTAACACATTACGCCTTTGATGTCTTATAAGAGCCTTTTATTATTTACACACAAATAGAAGCATGAAATGCTTCTATTATGCATTCTATTCATAACGTTACTGTGCATAGCGTTAACACAGAAATCGATTTACAAACTCAAATGAAAGTTCTACAAAGGCTCTTCTTTTAACACGATAACTTATTTCGTCATCATTTCAAAGTTTTCAATAAAGTACTGCAAATACTCATCAAAAAGTGAACACAGTCTAATATGCATTATTGTAGTAAATGCTGGCGTTATCAACAACGGAATTACTGCGAAAAGCGTTTAATTCACGGTAGTAATACTCTGATTGTCGAAAAAAGGTTTACTGCGATGGGTCTTTTAAATATCACAAACGATTAGCAAAAATAAAGATATCGACCGTCTAATAAAAGAACGGAAAATTGACAAATACTCATCTTTTGAAAGATTCACCACCATCAATTTATAAAGCATCCTGGTTGGGTTCCTCTCTCAAGTGAGATCTTGAGATCACGTTGTGTTGAAATCATTACACAAATTGTATCCGAGGTAAAAATGAAGTGTAAACAAGAATGTTTTTTTGTTTACAATTAAATATGGTGTAACTATACAGTAAAACCTCTCTAAGTGCACCCCGCTCGGGACCATAGTAAAAACAGGCAGTGTGCACTTAGAGAGGGTGTGCATTTATAGAGAGTAAAATATGTGTATTATAATTGGAACCAAGCCATACCGTGCATTTAGAAAGAATTTATATAG